TCTCCTTAAATCTCAGATTAATAAACCCTTTTTGTTCTTGTATCATCTTTTTTTCATATACCCTTCGTTTCATAAACCCTTTAAGGGTTTATGGCGTTGTCATAAACCCTTCAAGGGTTTAGCATGATTTGTAGAAAGGACAAGGGTTTATTATTCTACTCTTTTTTTTTACAGTGTACTGCTAGGGAACGCATGAATATGCTAGAAAACTGGAATATTTTCTAGACATCGTTATGATTGCCACTACATTAAGTAGCCAGCAAACAATTTCACCCAAAATACATTACACTTTTATCAATAGAAGATTACCCAGTCACACAATGCAACTGAAAAAACGTGTTCTACGTAAACAACGCATAAAATTATTACCTGTAAAAACGTTCGCAAATCCGCATTTTGCGCGGTTTCTTTCTGCATCGTCATCTGCCTGTGGAGAAGATTTGTCTCTACAAAAAATAAGCCCGTTGTCAAATTTACACAAGTTTGAACTGATACCAAAAACTGTCAGCGAAAACATTCCGTCGAATGCAAAAAGTAACATTTATTAGAAAATCTTCGTTTGTATCATGTCTTCTTTTTTCTGTTTTTTCCCTTTTTGATCGAGGGAAAATCGATCACACTTTTTCATAGAGCTTAGTATTATTTACGAGCGATTCAAGCAAATTTCACTCTTGTTCGAACCGCCCCTTCATCAATAAACGGTTGATTTCTCTGAAAACTAAAACCCTTCTTTACTTTTGAGAGTAAGTCAAAGTAGGAAATCTGGTTCTTTCTGCTCTGCGTCAATTTTTCAATGCAATGCACTGACGTCAGTCTAATGACGCCAAGAACAATTTTTTCATGCATAAGGAGGAAAAAAGTTGAATGCTACGAGCAAAAAGAATATTTACACAAATAACCACGCAAAAAATGTAAACATTGTAAGAGTCTTGTAATTACATTGACTGGCAAAGAAAAGGTATAAGTAGAAGAATAAATCACTTCTCTGAGAATACATTTCTGAAAGAATACCAAACAAGTGAAGGTGAGCATGGATTCTTTTCTCTTGGAATGATCGTTCCACGTAGGAAAACAGATTTCATGAATTACATGTTCATCTTCTTATAGTTACTCAAAAGCTTGTCAACAGTATTCATATACCGCACTGTAAAAAGAGGAGTAGAATAATAAACCCTTGTCTTATATATCAATCTTCAAATGCCCTTCAAGGGTTTAGGAGAGTATCATAAACCCTTAAAGGGTTTATGAAATTTGCACGAGGATGCAATTTCCCATTTTTAGCGAGAAATTAAAGGTTTTTCGCATAAGCATGCATTTTTCAGTACCCATTTTTTCAATACTGATTCAAATTGATAAAATGTTCCTTATATCTAATACTAATATTTTTTGCCCATCCCACTCAACATATCATCTGTAGAGGAACACTCATCAAGTTTATTCTAAGATTTGGCTACTATACAACACTAAAAGGAATGGTAGATCAGTAAACATTCAAAGGGTTTATGAACGTGCAACGTATAATAAACCCTGTTTCGCTTACATAAAATTTCCGTAAACTATGGGTGTGCGTGTGGGTGTCGGTTTAGATGTGCCTATGCCAGTGGCGGCGGATGTGGATTGGGATGTCTTCTCCTAAACCCACACCCACACCCACACCCACACCCCTCAATGTTGGTGAAATGTTTTTGCTTTGCACCTGCACAACATGAATAAAAGGAAGAAAACTGAGGTAGAATTATCTGAGAAAAATGACTTCAAGTGTGGCAGAACGAAAAGCGGGGCAACGAGTGCCATGGATAGAAAAAAATCTTTCTTTTTGTCAAAAATAAGGCGTTGGTTTGCTCCAAAATAATCACATATGAACTGGTTCGAAATTTTCAATTTCGTGCAGAGTTGATAAAAATTACATCATTCGAAAGAGCGTAAAAAACTGAGTATATGCTGAAGTTTTCTCAACGGTGTATGCTCTAGTCCCCAGCAATTTTGTTTTTAAAGAAGATTCTTCAGCTAGAGCAATCTAAACATCTTTTTTTTCTCTCTCTCTCGTTCTTTTTTCGATGCACACGCGCAAGCGTTCACGTATGGCGCTATTCATATAGGACGTATTCAATCGATAAGGAAAGAAAAAAAAAGATTTTTCTTGCAACGTTAGCTGATAATCATTAGGTTAATTAGGAAATAAATACATATTGAAATTAGATCAAATGAATATTAATATCCCAATTCTTTTACATTAACAATTTTATTATTTCGTGAAAAAAATAAATCCTTCCTATTATTGTAAAAGTAAAATATTCGAATCCAATATCGATTGTTTAACAACATGTAAAATATTTCTTTCAATTCATCTATTCATTCTCATATGAATATTCACTCGTATACTCTCTATTTCATTTCGATCAAAATAAATCTTTATTTGAGTCATTGAAATTAGTTTCATCTTTTTCGTTTGATATTTTTTCCTATCACTTATTATCATCATTTTTTTTAAGGACTAACGAAGACTAACGCCGTGTGTGTACATTAATGTATACAATCTCTTAAAAAAGGTTCAAAAGCAATTTGAACTAAATACATAGAAGAGCAAAATAGTTTATCGATTGAGAGGTTTTTCGTTTTGTTTATAAAACAATAATGTTGATTCTATTTCTTCAAACTTATTTTTCTAATGAGATATTTTCAAAGGAAGATGAATCAATAAAATTCGAATTGTTTTCATATAAAAAGAATTAATTTATTTTCATGAAATATTCCATTATCGTTCCTATGTATGATCGAATAGAATCTTTGAGTATATTGTGTTTTTTGTTACATTTATTGATCTTTGCAGAGAATTACAAAATCTTTTTTATTAATGAATCGATTAACTTTATTACGATACATAGAAAACAAACTCACGATACATGATTGTTAGCTCGCTTCGTCGAGCTTTACGTTTATTTATATATATCTAACACACACACACACACACACACACACACATATGTATATATACACAGAGAAGAAAGACAAGAGAGGAGAGAGAATAACAATGATAACGACAGGGAGAGAAAAGGAGAGATATATTAGATATTAGAGAAGTGTAATCGAGGGGCCAGTGGTATCAACCACCGTTAACATTCTTCCCCTCCTATGATAGGTGTGTGTCCTCACACACAAATAACCCTGTTTCTAGTTTTACTTGTGGTGCTTGTGGTTCAGATGAAGATGTTGAAGATGTTGTAGGTGTTGAAGACGTTGGAGTTGTTGAATTGAATAACATTTTATTTCATAATGATTACTACAAAGCATTTGATTATATGGACCTAAACTTGTTAACCATGTTATATTAGCTAAAATATTATATGGTTGACTTTGTTGACCTATAAAAATTTTATTTAAATTTTCTATTGAACGTTGACGTATAATATTTTTGCTATATAATTTTCATGCGTTTGTACAGTTTGTTGCATTAATAACATATCAGACGAGATAAGTAATTTGTTTTGTTGTTCACTACCATCATAAATTAAAAATTCTAAATCAGGTCGTTGATTAAGAAAATTATTTTGATTTATTGTTATTTTGATTTTATGTTTTTCTTTCGCCATGATTATCAAACATAAAGATTCACGATTAGAAAGAGTAGAATTATCAAGTAGAATTTCACCATGATCTTTAGAATAGGAAATAATTGGTTCACATTTTGATGAATATTAACATTGAGCATTTTGTTCATGTGGAATACAAACACCGGTTGGATCTATTTTATCGGTTGCATTCGTCATTGGTAAACACCAAATTTCATCGGAACGACATAATAAACTATTCGGGGTTTTAATCATTGAGCATAATGGACAATTATCTTCATCACTATGATCATCCTATAAACATTCATATAAACAATTACATTTCCATTGTTTTGGTATAATTAAACCACTTTTGACACAATGAAAATAATCACTATTCGATTGTACTTTTGATCGAAAATAAACGTCTAATGCTGCTGATGATGATGGAATATAATATGTCCGTTGATTAATATCATTAAGTATAATTTCTTTTTATCACTTTTTAATATTAATTCATTTGACCATAATGTTCGATCATTTTCTAATTTAATAATACGTAATGAAACGATATAATATGATTGAATGTCGAGTTTTTCATTATTAATTGTCCATGAACCTAACGATCAGTTGATATTATCATATTATGTTGTTGATGATTCATGGGGTATTGTTTGTCCGGTTAATTAAGTTGTCATTGGTGGTTTTTTAAATAATAAAATAATAGTTTTATTATTATTATTATTATTATTAGCTCGTTTCGACGAGCTTTATGTTTTAAATTAATTAAAAATTTTTCTTCTTACCCCCATCGTTGTTTGTACTGTTCCCTGGAGAAGTAATTAATTGGCATGTTGGTTCGTGCCTTTTCTTCTTCTTTGGAAGATTTAAAACCAATTAAAACCTCCCCTTTGTTTTTGTTGATTGTAATCTGGTGACTGGTGTGTATGTTGTCGTCCTTTAATTGACTTCGAATTTTTTGATAGTCATATCGATAATAAATTGGACGTTTAATTTTGTTTTGGAAGTTGGGGTGACGTTTTTGCTTCCATTTCAATTTGATGCTCTTTTTCCGTTGTCGTTCAGCTTTGGTTAAAGTTGTTGTTATTTGTGGTTGTTGTTGTTGTTGTTGTTGTTGTTTGATTTGTACGTCGGGTAAATCAAATGTTTCCATTTCTTCAGGTGTTACTTCGATCATCAAAATTGGCATTTCGTCGTGTTGTGCTTGTGGTGTTGGTTGTGGTTGATCAAATCTAGGTTTTAGAATTTGAATAATTTCATCATCGCTTACTTCTGATAGGTCGTCTTTCAGGTTTTTGATGATGTTTGTTGATGTTGTTGTTTGTTCTGGTATGTGGTGGTCATTGATTTTTTCTGGATACTTATGGAAGTATAAGTCAGCAACGGCAAGACAGTCGTGTGCAACATATTGAATCATGCTTAACCGTCGTTGTTGTTCAGTTGTTTTATCATAATGGTGTTTGCTGAATAATTTTTGTTCCCACGTGTTCAGCTGCAAATCCAACCCACATTTCCAATAGTTAACCGTTTCGAATTTATCCAGAAATTTTCCAAACGTTGTTTCAATGGCTTTCTGCAGAGACCATATATCATTCGAATTAACATGAGTTTGACGATGCGAACCAAAAAGAATATCATTAATTTGTTGTTCGTCGTCCATATCATCATTATCACCGGGTGTATCGTATGGATAATACGATGTGTCCGCGGTTATTTCATCACGCCTTTCCATTTCTGGATGCGTTATTTGTATGTTTTTTCCAGAACTAAATAAAGATTGCAGATTAATTGGTATAATGTTCTTACCTATGTGGATGAGGTCGAGATGATGAAAATTTGTAAATTCGTTCGCTAATGGTCCCCATGCTAGAACTTCATTGCCATTGTTGAATATAATTTCACATAATTCTATTATTTTTTTGTATAAATTTGATTGTTTGTCGGGTAAATAATTGATTTCGATTAATATTATCGTTGACTGGCCACTGGAATGAAGAAATTGTATTTGTATCAGCGCACCATGTCTTTCTGTTTCACCTTTTTGTGATTCCGTGTCGACGACGTATCTTTTCGTTTTATATGCCTTCGAAATTAATTGATTTAACGTATCAATTGTTGATTTGTAATGAAGATGTATGATGTTGAAGTGTGATGATGATTCGAATGGTGGATATTTAGTGCGAAGATCTTCGTTCTTGTTCATTTTCTTTGCCGTTTTTTGCCAATTGTTTTGTTGTTTTTTATTTAAAGTATAATATTAATTTGGTGGGTTGTTTGGATCACGTTTCGCATACGACATGATGATAGTTAACTACAATAGAAATGATATGTGTTGTTGTTAAATGTACTTAAAAATCGAAATTCTTTGTCTGATCAAATTTTTTGTTCCTTCCAAATAGAGATATGTCTGGAAACTGTTCGTACGTAAAATTTTTCTTTCCTGTACACACTAAGTAAAAATGCGTCGGATGTGTCGTAAAGTACGACACAAAGCACGACACATTCGAGTACGACATGAGGTGCTCGTTGCGACACATTCTGTCCAGCAAGACCACGACGCATTTTTCACGACACATCCGACACATTTTCATTGATTGTTTTTGAAACGCATATTTCGATATTTTTTAATTAAATTACATATATCTCTTTATTTTTTGAAAAGTCTATCTGATCAGATCCTAAGATCTGGCTGATTTGGAATTGGTCCGATTCCTATTAGACTATCCAGTGTAGTCCTTCCCGGATCATGGATCGGGATGGCAATTCCTTGATTATAAAGTAATCAAGAATTAAATTCAAAGAAAATTTTATTTCGAGAACTTATCTTCCATGCGTTCAATGATGTTGCTTATATGTCGCTGTATGTTCATAACAAAATGGTGAACGACTAGTCGACTGACAGAACGCGAAAAATACACGAGACATCTTTTTCATTTAAAGTGCGACACCCAAATTTACGACACATTTTTGTAATAGAGAGCACAACACAAAAATTCACGACACATACAGTCGACGCAATTTTATTTAGTGTGTATTTCCAATGTGTAACAAATTTTTATAAGAACACGCGTGATAGCGGGGAAAAGTGAAATAAAAGAAACTTTCCGCAAAATGCGGAAGATGTGGCAATTCTACTTAGCGAAAACACTTTCTTTTCATTCTTATACTTTAATATCATTGATTTGTCTCTATCGCTGTTTGCGTCATAGAACACGCATCTTCGCGTGAATCCTTATGACGTCGGAATTCTTTTCCTTTGGATAGAATTCCTGTATTTATGTCGTTGATTTTTGCCAACATTTGACTACAACGCAACGAAGCCACCTGATGATAATAATATCTTAAATAAATTTGAAATATTAGTAACTTTTACTTTATTGTGGTAATTTGTCACAACCTCCACCCTCACGTAGCTGTAATGAGAGATGTGGGAGATCTCCAAAATCCTGGATATGTGACACTGCTGCTTTTATCTGATTTATTTTATCTAGTTTTAATCTCATTTTGATGCAAAAAGCAAGTTTGATGTTAAAATTAGATAATTTTTTGATCCTCATTAGTATCTTTTATGTATTTTCTTAATAATCCAAACTGACTAACAGAACATTTTTATTTTTGTTAATACATATGAGTAACCCATTGAAAAAATTTCGTTACTTTTCAATGCTGCAAAACGCGTTAATGCTGACCGGTTTAATGTGTTCCGCAGCTTCGGAATCGGTTAAAAACGCCGCGAAACGATATACTTTTCGTTTTCATCCTGAAATAGTGACTCCGAAACACGTTTTGACTAAATGGAAAAATTGGTTTTACACCTCTCTTACCATGGGAAACGCTGCGAAACACGTTAAACCGGTCAGCATTAACGCGTTTCGCAGTGAATATATCTTTATTTTTTATCCCATGGAAATTCAATTAGATGAGAACAGAACAAGAAAAACAATTATTTTACGCACAAGCGTCGTGCGCGTTCTCTTCTTGTGTGCATATGTCATACACGTAAATGTCCGCGTGTAAGTGTCGGCGCACAATTGTCGCGTCAAGTATAATCTATATCACTGGGTAGAATTGTTTCTTTCTAAGTACATGATCCTATATATTGCATCAGTCAATCTAAGCGATTCGTCCGATCTATTGGGTATTTTTGTATTTTGGTAGATATATATTTTCTACGTGATAGTGCAGAAAATACTGATATTAACGTACGGTACCAATAGAAATTATAAGTTCTGGTTATAAGTGAGAGTAAGTCTATTTTACCAATTAAGCATAGACAACTTGTTATCTTAGTCTCGATTATGAAATTTCATTCTATTAATTCATGGTATTGCTTTTTCTGAAATGTAACTCGTCATTTTTAGTATTTCGTCATAATGGCAATCGATAAACTTCTCCCGGATACAAAGAGAATTGGTTTACTTCAAGTAAAACTTCCTGTAAATTCATTTAATCATACATACGTTATTGTTATTTCAAATAGAAGTCTTTATCAACGGACCAAAAACAATCCAAAAGGCAATCTTCATCCGAAGGTTAGTTAAATATTTCGTTTTTTTTTGTATTAACAATTCATCACCCTCAAACAGAATCAGTAATATATTTAAATGGCAACAACGTTGAACCGCTTCAATATATCGATTCGAATATCATTGGTAATAAAATGCCAATCAATACTCCTTGGGGATCTCGACCACGTAAAATAATGGATTGCCATTCACCAGAAAAAAAAACATGCTATTATTCGTCTTTAGTTATTTACGCTGATTACACAGCATCTGGACGATGTTTACAATTTATCGTACAATATATGCTCACAAATGTGTTACCTTTGTAAAATAATTTCACGCTACTTCTTTCTCTCTATTCTTTAAAATACTTTCTTTTTCAGTTATGCTAATACGCACAGTGAAAATAATGTATGTGCGCATAAGACAACAAAATTCCGTGAAGACTCTCGAAAATTGATTAAAAAATGTGTTAATGCAAGCGATGATTATGTACTTATTTTTACGGGATCTGGTAAGATAAATAGAACTTACTACAGTTGTATTATAAATATAATCGAATCTATGTTTTTAGGATCAACAGCTGCAATACACCAACTTATTAATGTTTTAGATTTGAGAAACAAACAAATCCAAGAACGCACAATTGTCTTTATCAGTACATTCGAACATCACTCAAATATTCTGCCTTGGAAAGAAACCGGAATTGAAGTAAATATGATTTTTTATTTGACAATGTATGTATTTTTACTTTTCTTCCAGATTAAACAAATTCCAAACAATGAACAAGGTCTAATGGATCTTGATAATTTAAAACAACAACTAAAATATTATCATAAACAACATCACAAGCACATTATTTGTTCATTCAATGCTGGAAGTAATGTAACCGGAATTCTAACTGATGTAGATACTGTTTCCAAACTCGTTCATAAATATGATGGTTGGATATTTTGGGATTATGCTGCAGCTGCACCATACGTTAAAATCGATATGAATCCGTCTAAAATAGCTTATAAAGATGCTGTTTTCATATCGACTCATAAATTTGTGGGTGGTCCAGGTACACCCGGTATTCTAGTTGCGAAAAAGCACCTTTTTGATAATCAAATTCCAAGTGGATGTGGAGGTGGTACAGTGAATTTCGTAACTCGAAATACAGTTGAATATGTCCGAAATATTGAAACACGTGAAGAAGGTGGCACGCCAAATATCCTTGGTTCTATTCAAGCGGGGTTAGTTTTTCACTTAAAACAATTTGTCGGTGAAGATCGAATCGAATTACGTGAAAATGAACTGGTTGACAAGTGTTTTGAACATTTGCCAAATTCTGAAACATTATGCATGCTTGGTCCAAGAGCTGCTCATCGTTTGGCAATATTTTCATTTCTTATTTATGTTCCAAAATTTAAGAAATATCTTCATCATAATTTCGTTTGTGTTTTGTTGAATGATTTATTTGGTATTCAAGTACGATCTGGATGCGCATGTGCTGGGCCGTATGTTCTTGTAAGTTTGATAATGGGAAAAGATTCATTTTTTTGGGTTATTGTGAAAGAAAATGTTTTCGTTTAAGGATTTACTCAATATAAAGGAAGAAACAGCAAAGATTTATGCAAAATTTATCACAGAGGATGTCGAGTGAGTGTTATATGAACGATGAAAAATACACAATAACTGTAATTTTAGTAAACAAGATAAAGATGTACCTAAAAATGCGTTAATGAAACCGGGATTTACACGATTTAATTTATCGTATTTTGCAAGTGATAGTGACGTTGATTATATTATAGAAGCAATTCGATTTACCGCAAGATATGGATGGAAGTTTTTACCATTGGTAGAGACATGCTTCTTTTGTTGTTTACTTTGAATATTAGAATTTTCGTTTCTACTATAGTATGAGTATAATGTATCAACAGCTGCTTGGGGTTGTCGAGATATGCCAGTAGAAAGCGCCCATTCTCAAGATTCGGGCCTTCAAGGGCTGCCAATTGCCAATGGCCCAATACAAGAACCTTCCCCGAATAATATAATTGTAAGCAAATGTTATATTCGTATTATTGAATAGTTTAAATAATATGTTATGCTTTAGATTTCTGATGCTGCAAAATCGTTGATAAAAAAATCTTCAAAAAATCATTTAAAACAAGCTAAAAACATGGCAAAAAATATACCAGAATATGTCAATACAAAGCTTAAGAGTGTATCTGATCCACCATTGAATATTCCTGAAAAATATGAAAAATATATTTGGTTTCTCACACCGGAAACAGTCATCAAGAAATTCACTAAGCAAAGTAACCGTAATGAATTAAATGATTCTTCGCCAGTGCCGTTTCGACCGAAGAATTTGAATTAAATGGTGGTATATGTTACAATCGTCTTGAAATTCACTTTTATTGTTAATCTCGAACTACGTAGTTTCTAATAAAGTATTAATTATTTCAAAGATCTTTTGTCAATATACAGATGATGCAACAATAATATTTCCGAGAAATTGAATGATCTTTATCTGACCTTAAATATATTTCTTCACTATTTTATTCTTTGCGAATAATTAATAATTCCAAAATATTTCCGTTTCTTGTTCGATTATTAAAAACTCTTCTGTAAGCAAATAGCATCTCATGCTATTTGTCACTCACTCTAAGAATAATAGCTATTATGATTGTATGTAAATAATATAAAAATCTCTTTTAAAATCCATCGTATTTCAGTTTAATCGAGTTTTGATATTTCGAAACATAGTTAAGTTTGAATAGAATGATGAACTAGGAGTTATTACTAACGGAGATTTATTGAACAGTGAACGCGTTTAGCAGATTGATGCTAACATTATTTTATCTCAAATATGATTTGATCTAACGATATCGATCGGAATCAACATGAATCTTGTTAACGACTCGTAAATAATAATGGTGTAAAATATCCCATGAAATACCAAATGACACATTATTTTATAATTAGATGTTACCTGTTGGTACCAGAGCTGAGCAAGTCCAAAATACCCCAAGTCAAGTCAAGTCAAGTAAAATCAAATTTACTTTAAAAGGTTTCCAAGTCCAGTAAAATTCCGAAAAATTAGAAATTTTTCTCCAATCAGGTCAAATATAGGGTGGCACTTTAACTTTAAAAAACTTTAAAAAAGTATTAAAGTTTAAAGTAAAAACGCTTTAAACTTTAAACTTTAATTAAAGTAAAACACTTTGACACTTTAACTTTAAAAAAAGTCTAAATTAAAGTCGACATATTGATAGAGTATTCGACGATCATTCTTGAGTTTTGTCATAATCTCATCTTCGCGTCTTTAAAAAATTATTTTTACCAAATACAACGAAATAGAATTGAATAAAGATGTAATTACACATTTTAAAATATAGAATGTAAATATAACAGGATTTACTTGTAGTTACGTGGTAAGACACTTGAGCTTTATATGGATCACAAATTATCAAATAAAAATAAAACTTTGTGATATTGATTCAACTATCGGAAAATCAAATTATGAGAGAACGCGTGATCAGTTATGGAAATTAAGCAAATACCTTTCAACATCAAGTATCCCCATATGTACAGTGAAATTTTCAACAAAACACCACGAGAAATATTTTCAAGAAGCGTTTAGAAATTCAAATTTTCTGATTCACAAACGTGGAATCTAACATTTAGAAAAATCTTGTTTTGGCAAAACAGTTTTTTCTTGGTGGAAAAAATTAAGCCATACATTTTTCGTTATCACGTACACAATAACCGATGATGGAGCGATTACTGACCTCTCTGTACATATGAAAGTTTACTATTCATATTTTTATGCAGAAATTGTTAAAAAACAGGTATCCTCGCCAATTCATGAGTGATCTTGCTTTTATAGAACTATTTCTATTGTATCACGACATAGATGTCATAATATCTTCACACTGGGTATTGTGATTTCGAAGTCATAATACCCATCGAATTCTTTTTGGGGTATTACCTAGGGGTGGCATTTTAACTTTACTTTAAAAATTAAAGTTTAAAGTTAAAGTGTCACCCCTAGTATTACCCTTAGAGTGTCCACTTTTATATAACTATATGTTTTAAGTTGAGGAATTTGAGTCGTTTTGGGGTATTACCCCTAGGGTATCCTCTTCGATACCCTAGCGTATAACACTATATGTTTAAAATTGAGCAATTCGCAGCAGCTCTCCTAATTCCATATTGAATAAAAGCGAGATTTCCGAAGAATCGATTGTTGACCTTGAGCCTGCTACAAGCATACCTGCGTTTACTACAGCAATTCCTGAGGTTGCTAGAATTTAAGTGCCTCCCAGATGTATGCGTTACTTTGTCGGAAAGTTGATTGGAATACTTTTAACAAGATGAGGCACAGTTGCAGTAACCTCTATAAAGTATCTAACAGTTAAGGTATGTGTTCAGGTACCTGTGGTGTGCCTCGAAGGACTCCAGCCATACTATCAGCAACGTCAGGTAAGGTTTTCGGAACTCGAGGAATAATCTTAACAATCTGATACATGGTTTCAGCAATTCCACGCAATCTTTTAGAAGCCTCAGGCATTCGTGTAGTAGCGCCCGGTTCGCTTCTAGCAGTGACAGGCTTCCCTCTATCAATGTTACGCATTGTCATGAATTCATGGCATGCTCCTAGGAATCATAATTTATGGTATGCACTTCAGCCTTAGTAATATGCATGTCTAAATTCAAATTATATAAAATACAATTCAGATAAAATTATATTATTTCCGTTTTCCTGTAGCCATATCTGTGCCTTAAGTTTTTCCGAAGTTTTATTGTGCAATATATGCATCAATTATATTCAAATTTGAATTGATCATCTTATGCGAACTTGAGTTGTTTTGGTGTATTTCTTCTAGGATATTGAAGTGGATACCCTAGGGGTAATACACCGAACGTTTATAAAATATGTTTAGCTCGAGAAAAAGTAGGTACTCGGTGTAACGGGATTATGAAATCACTCTATCACGACTACCTGGAGCGTTAACAGCGACAAAATTGTGTATACTGATAAGGAAGAGAAATGAAACTATTCGAAGCTTTATCTAGCCCAATGGGGAACAAACTAATTTCCAGTCATAGAAATCATTGGAAATCAACAAATCAGTTTGTTCCCCCTTGGAAATTAGTAAAAATCATCGGTAATCAATAGAAATAAATATTTTTTTGCACTATATAGTTCGAGAATTTCTGTGATTTCCATTTGTTTCTTATAATTTCTAACAACTGAGTCGTTATTCACACCTTTAATGTATGATGATTTCTAATGGTTTCCGATGATTTCTATGCCTGGAAATCAGTTTGTCCCCCCTTGATCTCATGCGAAACAAATCTCGACTCGATAGTCTCAAAAATCTGATTATTATTTCAATTTCTTCAGCAGAGAACCAATCGCTTAATTACAACCTTCTTCTTTCATAACATGATTTTCCGATCGTTGAATCAATATCACAAAGTTTTATTTTTATTTGATAATTTGTGATCCATATAAAGCTCAAGTGTCTTACCACGTAACTACAAGTAAATCCTGTTATATTTACATTCTATATTTNGTGTAATTACATCTTTATTCAATTCTATTTCGTTGTATTTGGTAAAAATAATTTTTTAAAGACGCGAAGATGAGATTATGACAAAACTCAAGAATGATCGTCGAATACTCTATCAATATGTCGACTTTAATTTAGACTTTTTTTAAAGTTAAAGTGTCAAAGTGTTTTACTTTAATTAAAGTTTAAAGTTTTAAAGTGTTTTACTTTAACTTTAGCATTTAAAGTAAAGTGAAAGTGCCACTCCTAGTCAAATATATTGAAGAGATTACCTAAATCAAATCAGAATAGTCAAAATATTTTCCCATGTTGAGCCATACGGTTGTTGAGAGGTATCTTCTCTTTTGATTTTTTTATTCGTTATACACCTCATTGAATTTGAACTATATTTATTCATATCATTAGAATGGATTCAGACCTGGGCAAGTCAAATTAGACTTGACTTGAATTGACTTGACTTTTGACTTGAAAAACACCTGACTTGCCCAGCCCTGGTTGGCACAGTACCTTTGATATACAATGTATAATTGCAGCTTACATTTAATGGATATAAAAACACCCAGGTCGATCATCCTGAGTCGTAAACGAAGTGTTACGATGAAAAACGGTCGTCGTAAACGAAGACCATGGAAAATCTCCGTAAACGGCCATCGTAAGTAAACGCTAACTGTAAACGACTGTTGGATATCACAGTAAACGGCTGGAGTCGATGACCGTAAATGATCCAGAAAACGATTGCCGTTCTTTTATCGTATACTTTTGTAAACGGTTGTTTACGGTAATTAGCTGTTCGCTTAAAGTATAGTACCATTTTTTAGATTATAGTTTACTCAAGCTATCTCAGTGAGAAGTATAAAGTGACCATCTTGTAGGTGAAGTTAGCATCGTATTCGAGTAAAATCTACCGATACTCATTTGCGCGGATATTCCAACGTCCATACACAGTATTAGAAGAAATTCATGTACTCTATCGAATAGTATATTTGGATTAGCTAGATCTTGAATCGTTCTCCTGAAAATCCAAAAAATAGCGAAAACTCCCATTAAATCTGTGGAATCCTATTAGTAAAATCTGACCATATTTATTTTAAGCAATATTCCAACTCTTGTACCTATGTTCCAAGTGGAACTCGACGAACTCTATCCAGTCGTGTTCACATATTTTCCGTAGCTCGAAATCAGACTTCACCACTGATAAGATAATACTGAAGAAATCTCAGAAGATCCTACTTTGAGCTATGAATAGGGATGCACCAATTCCAATTCCAATTCCAACCAATTCAATTCCAATTCTTGACTTGGAATTGGTCGGCATTGGTTGAAATTACGCTGGAATT